AAACTTTGCTTGTGTCTGAAGTGTTGTATTGGTGTGTATTTCGGCACTCCACTCTTTTGTTGCATTTGGTGTGTAGTTCCCATTATCTTCGGTGACGTTGTTGGGGGGAGTCCGCAGTTTTCATTTTTTGGTTCGGATGGTATTTCAAGTGGAGCAACTGCTTGAGTGATTTGTTGTGGAAATCCCATTTTTTGTGTGATTGGCATCTGCGGCATTTGTTGTTGTTGGAGTTGTTGGAGGTTCCCAAAGTTGAATTCTTCTTTCTGTCTAATTTGAGGTGAAGAAGTGTTGATAGTAGTATTCCCATCTCTTTTCATTAACCCACTGACAATTGGGGTTTTCTTTTCATTTGTTATTTTCTGAGTGTTAGTGATTGGTAAGATGTTCGCTTGTGCCAACCCTCCATTCAAAGGCATCATATTTTGTTGTTGTTGCACTTGTCTCATTTGTTGGAAAGTGGCTTGTTGTTGTCCCATTTGATTCATTTTGACCATTTGTGGCGGAACTACTACAGGCATCCCTCTATTCACCCCTTGCATGCCGTTGAATCCATTAAACCCATTAAACCCTCTCATGTGCATACCAGTCGCTCTGGGCAATCCCTGTTGCGCTACTCTCATCTGTTGCTGTCCTCTCAAATTCGGTTGTTGCACTCCTCTCTGCACAACAGTGTTCGGAAAGTTTTCCCGAGTCATCGGTCGCATTTGTGTTGCGCCACGCATTTGTTGGAGGTTGGGCATGCCCCGCATTTTCACGTAGTTTCGTTTCTCGGCAAGCATCTCCGCACTCTCAGGCACGGCAATTGGTTGCTGTGTCGGGTTAAATCCAGCCATCTGCATTTGAGGTATAAAGATTTGTGGCGCCATACCAAGACGTTGTCCGGGTTGAGTGACGTAACTCATTCCGGGTGGGAGTTGGAACACTTGTTGTTGTCCGGGGATATTTTGTGGGATGTTATTGTTAGGAAGCATTGAAGAATGTAATGAGTTTTTCAGATGGCCAAAAAAATAGAAATGGTTAAGTTTATATAAGTTATTATATATTTATTATTAATTTATAGAATAAAATCAATTAATTTCTATTAGTTATATAAAGTATAATTTGTTCAATTATTTAAATCCTATTAATTATAAAGAATTAATTATTAATTTATTGTATCAGAGTTACTGAAAAAATAGATGGATATCTTTTAAACACAAACAAGACACGTCGATGTTTTTATTTTTTAGTAATTCATAATTAATATTTACTACATTATTATCACACTTAAAACTAGAAATGGTAGTTGTTTTTATTATTTTTTTATAGTACTTTATTATTGTACAAAAAACTAAAAATTATATTTTTAATTTACATTTAGTTCGATAAAAAAATAATTCTAATTACACAAACTTTTTGTATTATTTTTTTTAAACTTAACTTGTTATTTAAAATGTCATTTTTCTTTATGAAGTCATTATTAAAGAGTGGCATTTACATCGCTAAGTGTTACAACACAAAACGAACTTTAAATTTTATCAAAAGAATAATTAAAGCCAAAGTTTGTCATAGAAGTAATAGATATTATTGGTTATTCTGTTATGTGGATAAGAATTAGTCAACAAAAAATAATAGTTTTTTTTCTTCAGTTAACGATAAAATTAGAAATGGATCGTTTGATTTGTTGGGAACTTGTTTAACTGTAACTCTGAATGCAAAATTAAAGAAGTTTGCCTTTTATACTCTCCACAAAAAACAAATGAAAATATACAAAGCAACGCACACCAGAACCAACTGTTCGAAACAATACTTTTCTTGTAAACATAAAGGCTGTTCGTCAGAATTTATATTTTATATTGCCAAAGATTCAAAAGTTAGTGGTATAGTCTTTGATCTTTGGCATTTTAATCACAATGAATCAACAATTTTTAAAGAAGTACACAACGCCATTTCTAATGAAACAAAATCACTTTTGAATAAAGATGCCAATAAAGGAATTTCAAGTTCGTTGTCAAGACTCACCAATAACATCGTAATAGATGCACAGAAGTTATATAAAATAAGATGTCAATCAACTCGGTATAACATTAAAAAACACGCAGAAAATTTAAGAAAGTTACTTTGATTCACTTGAAGCTTTCAATACTTTATATTCACTGATATAGAAGGTCGTTTTTGAGTTGCTTTTGTCTGAGTTTGACTTCTATACAAGACTTTTATAAAACTGTCTTGTTGTTGATGATACCCACTGCACCAACAAATTTGGCAAACCGTTGTTTGTGGTTGTTTTTAAAAATAACAATAAAAATGTTGTGTTTGGAATTTATATACGATTCATTGATAAATTCTTTTGTGACTTTCCTCGATGAACTAAAAGTGAATTGAATAAAAGGAAAAAGCATTTTGTTGGCTTTTTAGGAGACATGTCATAGACACAAAGTTCGTCTTTATTCGAGGTGTTTGGTTCAACTACAAAAATACGTTATTGTTATTTACATATTGGAAGAAATATGATAAACCATTTCAATAAAAAAATAATTAGTATTTTTACGATATGTTTCGAGAAAATTCAGACATTTAAAAAGTTGAAGGATTGTTTGTGAACAATTACTCTTTTTGATGAAAACGTTTGAAATCCAAATATCATTTGATCAACAAGTAGATAACATGCCTACTCAGAAAGACTTTGCAGACTTTTTATCAGTGGTTTATATGACCGATAAATCTACTCAGGTTGAATTTTACAAGCCTTCAACTAAATATAGAATGTTGAGAACACTATTTGACATTTAAAATACTTTTTTGCCATTACAAGTTGACCAAATATTATATGCCAAATATAGTTGAAGCGTTTTTTCTCATGCAACTTTATCCGTCCAACAAACAATTCCTTCGTTGGGTAGATGCACAAGCCTTTGTTCTTTACACAAAACAGCTGCATTGCAATGCTGAGCCTTTCACAGAAAAAGAAATGCAAATAATCTTAATACTCATCCCCAATAAATTGTTAAAAACTTTGATACCTTACACAATTAAGTCTCTCCTCATCAATTATAAAACTGTTACATGCACGGAATACTGCACAATAGAAAAGGTAATAATTATACTTGCAACGTATACATGAGTACTGGAGTTCCTTGTCACCACATGTTGTATTATAAATATTTTAAAGAAGACAATTTTCAAGACAAGAGATGTCCAATTGGGTATTTCTTAAATATCAATTCAGTCATACATCCAATTGTAAAATGCCAGAATAACACTCCTGTACTTTTGAATGCAAATTTTAGAGCCAATTTATTTATAGAAAACACTACTGAACCAACTCATGAAATTGGAATAATCGCAGAAGGACGAGAAATAACTAGAGGTGATATTAAAAAGAAGTTGTGTAATGATGTCAATCTTTTGAGTAGAAAAACAATATTTACAAATGCCGTGGAATTTTTACAGATTTTTGAGAATTGTAAAAGTGATGATACTCAATACAAAGATGGAGAAATAAAGGATTGAAAGTATGTCAAATGCAAAGGAAGATTTAAAACTATAACATCAAAATTGGTTGATAAGTCCCTTTGGTTCAAACACCACAATAAAGAAAAAAAAACAAGAAAAATAGCAAATTAGCAAATTAATACGTTTTTTTATTTTTTGTGTAATTCGAATTATTTTTTTATCGAACTAAATGTAAATTAAAAATATAATTTTTAGTTTTTTGTACAATAATAAAGTACTATAAAAAAATAATAAAAACAACTACCATTTCTAGTTTTAAGTGTGATAATAATGTAGTAAATATTAATTATGAATTACTAAAAAATAAAAACATCGACGTGTCTTGTTTGTGTTTAAAAGATATCCATCTATTTTTTCATTACCTGTACAAATATAAATTATTTATAGTAATTTATTATTATCTATATGATTGATATTATAAGTTGTAGTAAATTAAATTATTAAATAATATTATAATTAAAAATGAAACCCATAATTATTAAAAATTGCAATAACTATAGACATAAAGAAATAATAAATAAGAATTAGACCGTACGACTAGGATCATTCTTAGAGTATGTCACTTTCTATCTAACAAATAGAATTCACAAAATAGGATGAAGACTTTCATCACTTCAGTGCCAAAGGGAGATACGCAGCAATGCACGATGAACTGCTTGTTGAGGGGTCGAGTGCGTGCACAACACTCTGAGATGAGAGGCACTGAAGTCTGTCTGACTATTTTTTTCATTAATTATATATTATCATAATTTATAATATTATTAAAAAATTTAAATTGTTAAAAAAAGAAACAATCAAATCAAATTGAATGACAATCAAATAAGAGCAACTTGTGAGCGTATTCAACATGTGTTGGATTCTTACCTTTTGGTTTCTTGTTCTTGAGATTTTGATAAGCCCACCGTTTCTGTTTCTTATCGTCTTGCTTGTTCAGTGTGATGTATGTGACTGTTTTGACTGCCTTCTTCTGTAAAGGCGTGTTGTGTTTTGTTGCAACGTTTTCAAACATTTCCAAGTTGAACACCATGTTTGCTGATGACTGTTGTGACATCAGTTCCTTTTTATACAACATGACACGTCTACACAATTCATTTGTCAAGACTCAATATTAATTTTGAGTCTTGACACTTGGTATAAATACATCAATACTTCATTTGAAAACATAACATACATTTATAATATTGTCAACAAAAAAAATAAATGAAAAAGGCGGTGAATTGGTTACTGCACCATTTTGAGAATCTCCTCAAGTACTTCAGAACTGCCAGGCGCCTTTTTCACGACGTTCTGGTTTTGGAAAAAGACAAATGTGGGAAGTGATGCAATGGAGTATTCAGCAGCATAATGAGTTGCTGTGGTTGCATCAACTTTGAAGAAATTGAGGTTTGTGTGTTCGTCAGCAAGTTTGTCCATCATTGGTGCACTTGCCTTGCACGTTGCACACTCAGGAGAGTAGAAGATGACAAGAACGTTCTTGTTGTTTTCAATTGTTTGTTTCACTTCTGCAACATTGGTCGTGTATGTCACTGGCATGTCTTGATGTTAAGTCGTATGATTTGGTTATTTAAAAAGAAATCAATTGTTTCAACACACGATCACCAATGACCAGATGTTGCAATAACTCTGTCGCGATTTATAACTTTTCACATTAAAATTGTTTCATTTTTTAATCGTTTGGTATTTGATATAGTAAAAAATATAGATAAATAAATTTTAATATATAAATTCAGCCACTTAATATATTATTTGTTGTGCAGGGCTATTAAAAACTAAGTCAAAAAAACAAGGGTTGATTTTTATTGAATAATGGTTTCAGAAAATTTAAAATAAACTTTTTGATGGCAATTCTAATTTAAAGTTTGAACAAAACAAAATTGTTTTAATTTGTTTTTTCGATTTTTTTGGGGCTTTATTTTTTTTGGTTGGTATTTAAAAAAAAATAAAAAATAAAAATGGCAAAAGTTTTTCTTCGGTTTTTTTTTAAATGAAAAATGGATAATCTGTAGTTCTTGGTTATAACATAACAACCAAATTGTAAATATAACAGTATAATTTGATACTTTGTTGTTGCTGGAAATGGTTTTAAAATAACTATTACACCTTTAAAATATGTTTCACAAGTTGATGTTCAATTATGATTAAAACATAAAATAATAATTATCAATTGTTTTTCAGACTTAATTTAACAGACTTTAAGTGTATTTTTATTAGTTAACATTATGTCGCGTTTTAAAACAAACTTGATAATCAAACAGAAGATATTTATTTATTTCATATGTAAATGTGTTTGAACCAATTGTTGCATCACTATTTACGTTTTCAATTGTGTTTAACAGTCAACATAAAAAGTTTTTATTCAATACTTACTATTGAACATTGAGTCGGTCTTTAAACGTTATCTGGTGCCTTTTGGACCATAAAGATTGAAACATTTCGGGAAGCCGTCCCAAAAACCCATCCCAATTGTTTCGGGGTTTTTCACACTTTACCCAATGCCCGATTTTAGACAATATTAAAGCTATTTTGTCCACCAAATATCGTTTGAGACCAGATAATGTTAAAAGACTGACTCTATGTTTTATTACAAATATAAAATAAAAAAATAAATAATAATTATATAAACTTTGGTAAATTTCTGAGAGAAAAATTCTTTTATATAAAATTTTTATATATTTATAAAATATGTGCTAAAATTTTGATTTTTGCCATTATTTTAGTTTTTGTGTGTTTTTTGATTGACAAAGAAATTGAAGTATAACTAAAAATAATTTGGATTTGTGCTATTTATTGAAATCACATTGTAATCGAGTTCTTATATCTTGCCACGTGGGGACGGGGTTTGAAATTTTGAGAGCCCTGTGTGTGGTCGTTTTTTCTTGTAAATTTAATCCAATCAATATAAACAGTATGTTTAAAAAGTTAAATACAAACACGTTAAAATAAAAAATAGTTTTATCATTTTTTAATAACTAATTTGTTGGAAAAAGATTTTATTTACAATTTTTGGTATTTTTCAAATAACACAATAAGATATTGCCATTTTGACGTTTTTAGTTACTGTAGGAACCAATCGTAATGTATGTCAAGTCAAAAACATCTCAAGTTATACCAAAACACAACTGAACACATTTATGTTGTATTTTCAGAACACGATATTATTTAATATGTTGCACCTGTAACTACTTTCATTGTGATAAACAATACTTATATTAAAAACAAGTTAATAATAACAATTATTCTAAATTTTAATTGTTTTAATATAATTACAGGTATTTAAACCGTTTGTTATTAAAAACAATGTAAATTATTTGGTTATACTAAGTACCATATATAGTATATAGTATAACATACAGTGGTACTTGAAATTGACCATTGTATGTTTAAAATGTTCATGGTTAAACTTCCATGCATAATTGGGATATTTTTGAACTATATTGTTGAACTAAACACATATTTATCATTGTACTTGTAAATAATTACACAATATATTAGAACATAATACAGTTGATCAATAACAAAAAACAACGGTTACTTGAACTTGAAATATAATACATATAAAAAGTCTGTTTAATTAATTATTACATTTACTTTTATAATATGTTGTGGTTGAAATTGGTTTTAAAATTATTGTATCACTTTTAACGATATTTTAAAATTGAAAAAAACTTAGGTCGATGAAAATTTTATACGATGTTTGGTATAAACTTGAAGCACATATAAAGAAAAAGGCAAGTTATAATGTTTTCTATAACTTTTAATATTTACACTAATTTATAATCAAATTACAATTCTGTTTAATATGATAAAAAATTTTGTAATAGAAATACATATCATAAAAATTCAATAAAAAGCAAAACGTAACAACTAAAAAACGAATTTTATTTATAACCAATATTTAAAAATCTAATTTAATAATTAAATTTTTAATTGTTGTAATAAATTCGGCAAAATACAGAAAATTTTAAATAATAAAATATTAAACAAAGAAATTAATACACAAAACGGGAAGAACACTTTAATGTCTTTTAAAACATCTAAACGGTAAAGTTTGTCTATACAATAGTCTGTTTAATTTTATAATACAATTCTATGGGAGAAACACCATCAAAAGGTAGACCGATAAACTTTAAACCAATCAGAAGTATGTCAGTCAAAGAGCGTCTTGCAACACAACAGATGAAGATTATTTTCCAGGGGTTAGCTGGACTTCAAGCGCTCAAGACAGTACCAAACAAAAAGGCACTCAAAGAGGCAGCCACTGAGTCTGTTTATACCACTGATATTATTGTTAATGGTATTAAAGAGGATATTATAGTGGCAGGGAGTAAGGTAAACCTACCACCACCTCTAGAGTATTATCCACCAAATGGATATAATAAATCTGATTATAACATCTATGTTGTGCTTTTCGATAGCACCTCAAATGAATTCGACATTGATTATCTCGTTAAACACGTCCATTATATTATACCCGCACTTGAAGAAACAGATGATTATTACTTTGGAGAATTTGAATTTTTCCATTTTTTGGTGCAGAATTTGGTTGCACTTGTCTATTATAACACTGACAAACGCAACACCCATTACAATCCAAAAATCGAAGAGATGTTCCATGGAAGGTGTCTCCACTTTGCGATTGGTGACATCGACAAAGAAAGCATCAGTCAAATCATTCAAAAGACAATCACTGCCAAACGAAGTGGCTTTGCAGGAAGATATTTTGGAGGAAAACCCGTCATTTTGCTGTATGACGAAAACGACACAAAAGGTGAGTTGGATGTTTCACTCAAATTTGAAGGAATGGAACTCACCGAAGTCTAACCAAAGACAGAAACAACAGAAAACACATTAAGATGGACGGGAAGATATTTGGGAAGAGGGACAGAACCCTGTGTTTTAACAATTGAAAACAGTGAATTTGAATATCTCTTGTGGGAAAGTCTCTTTGATGTCAAATTAGAAGGAGTTGATGTTAAAGTAAATGATCTGAGTGATGTCGACAAATTGCTGGAAAAGCTTGGACTGAACGTGAAAGAAAGAAACGACTTTGTTGTGTATTGGATGAAGGAGATGAAAAAGTTCCAAAAGATGTTTGTCAGAATAGTTGACAGAAAACAATACGAAAAGTTGGTTCCACTGAACGTGAAAGGATTCGACAACGTGATGAGAGTCTTTGTTGGGTTTGGTGAGTGCCAAGAAGGAAATGAGTATTTAAGTGTTCAAGAAGTCGAAAGTGTTAAAAGAGCACAAGGAAAGTATGTCATTGAATGGGGAGCAACTCTCATTTAATAAAATGTTTACAGCGGTATTCACTTCAGATCTGTTGCCCAGCACTTAAAATAATTTTTACAAATTTTATTTATATTGTTTTTATAATTTTTATAA